GTTATTGTATTCTAGAAATGTAGTAAAATAAATTCCTATCTGTCAATTTGGTACTTTTCCATTATGCCCCTGTAATTTTAATAACTTAAAAATAGTATATATATATATATATATATTTATATATATAAATATAACAAAAAACATCAATAAGATTCACCTGTGGATACAAAGAAGAAAGCAATGAAGTATCAGTCTTTTTTTCCCTTTCTCTTACTAATTTCTTCTACTGGTTTCCTAACTCTTCAATGAATAGTTTTACTAAGAACCTGTAACAAAAAACATAAAACTACCGCTTTTGAAATGAACATGAATAATCTAGATTAAATATATAAATATGCATTTTATTCATATAGTGAATGTCCATAATAAATTTCTAAAAATATATTAATAAGCATTGTATTCATATAGTAAAAACTCACTATTTTTGGGGAGTTTAATGGAACAGTACTGACAATGTTTGTCACTACTTAGAAATCACTTAACTGTAGCTGTATAAAATTATCATTATATCTTTCTCATAAAGTGGAACTTAATGTTTGAGGTATATTTCTTTATAGTTACAAAAGATAATAAAGGGAAAAATATATTTATAAACATGTAAGATTTTTAAATTTCTATTTACTTAAGCTTCATAACACCCAGTTATGGTATTTATATGTGAGTAGTAGTAACATGTCCCCTGGTAGGTCAGCAGTAAGTTATGGACTTAAAGTCCAATGTTTGATTTCCCACATTGGACAGAGTGCAGGTATCCCATCTGCAGATTTGATCTAAGACAACAATAAGTAAAATATTTAAGTAACTTTTATAATTTTAAAAGTTATCTATATACAGTCAGGTGCTATGCAAATTTCATGTAACTCGTTGGGTGTGAGTTTATAGCATTACTCTATATAGTTCAATTGTACTTCAGTATTACAAACTTTTGTTTTGATGTAATTGATCAACAGGATGTTTTTTGTCTCCTCCTTAATTTAATGAATCCATAGACTTAAAGGATTCTACTATAGTGTCAAAATATACTTCCCATAGGTTATTTTACATCATACCAGCAGGAATCATATAAATGAATATGTAGCATCAATTCACATATTGTTGCAGTGAGAATCTTAAAAATAAATATATATTATATGAATTTTCAACAGCATGTAACCTAATGTAATTATTTTTATGGTGTTTCCTGTTCTTTTTTTGAATGATGTTTTACAACATATTCTCATTGTTTAATATCTTCCAATCTTAACTTTTGTTTCTGGTAAAATGTATTGTGTGTGAAATAAACTGAAGATAATCACCTTCAGTTAGCCACATATGGCCATCTTTTCTTGGTCATTCTATGTATTTAGAGTTTTTTCTTTTTACATTTCAGCAAATTGAAAAGGCAAAAAAAGGTTTAAAGTAGTAGAAACAAAGTAAAATTAATTCTTTTTATACCAAAATCAAATGAACCAAATATTAAGTGTAACATGTGGTTAACACACTGCAGTGTTTGAATGGCTTTATAAATTGCTTTTACCTTATAAACACATCTTTATATTGTCTTATCCTTTTTAACAGACATATCAAAGAGCATTTAGAAGGTGTTGTTAACCAACCAGATGTCAGCCAAATGTCAGAGGAAGAGTTGCAGTTTCATTACTTCAAGTTACATGACAATGATGATAATAATAAATTAGATGGTTGTGAACTTATTAAATCACTTATTCACTGGCATGGTAAGTACAATTACTTTAAAATAATTAGATTTTGGTTAACTATTAAAACAAAGTTAAATTTACTATCATATAAAATACATTTGGTTTTCTTTAAAATTCATGCTTCTTCATGCAAAATGATCTATAAAATATGCAGTAGTGTAGTAGTGGTTCATACTGTTTTACTCCTGCATATATTAATTAGCAGTGTTCAAAAAGCAGTAATTTATTGAAAAGAAAAGGAAATGGATTTCTAAAGTAACATTTACATAAATATGTATATATATATATATATATATATATATATATACTAG